AAAAAAACAAGAAAAATGAAAAAAAAAGTAGACGAATATGAATAAGTTACTGTTGGTTTGACAATTTTCAATGATGAGTTTTGATTATCAATTAATTCTTAAATTTCCTTTTTGGTTAGCATAATGTTCTTTTCAGTTAAGCAATAAAATTTTAATTATTAAGCATCACGTCGCATGATGAACAAGTGAACAACAGGAAATACCTGTACATAAACTTTTCCTCTGAGAATAGCCAATAATTAGCTAAAACTATGAGCCTTCACCTGTTCATATATACAGATGGTGCTAGATATTGGCGAAACAATTAACGGGTCCGGATCCGTAAAAACCTGGACCCGCTGCTCTCTAACGTACAGGTTGAGATCAACGCAACTCTGTACATAAGGCGGCGGGTACACTGTCACACCGTTAAATTTCTATTTTTTGATCAATAAAAAGTTTGCAATTAATATTCTATTCACACACAAGGATTAACATGTTATCTTCAAAAATTCTCCATAAAACATATATTTTGTCCTTAGTTTGTGGCTTCTGCTGGTTTGCAATTTTCGTCTTTCCGAGAACATTTAAGAATTCATGCTATAGGATAAATCTTCATTTTTCAACATAATGCTCATGCGATGCTATATATCATTGGAATCATATATCTATAAATTATGGTTTGTGAGAAGTGAAATAGGAAGAGCACACTTCAGTCAAATATATGACTCATTGATGTTCAACTAAGTGTTGTTTTCACCATTTTTTCGTATCTGAAGAATTTCTCTCATAAAATCACTCTTCTATTTATTATTATATTTAATTTTATAATTTACTTACCATAATACCTAATGACCAAATATCAACTTCTGTTGAATATGGTGTTCTTGAAATAACTTCAGGACTCATCCAATAAGCTATAAAAATCAAATAGAAAATTTTTAATGATTAAAAAAAAAAGAAATTCATACGTGTTCCAACTAATGATTTTCTTTTAATATTTTGTACTTTTTTTTCATTAATAACTTGTGCACAAAAACCAAAATCACTTAATTTAACAAAACCATCCGTTGAAAGTAATATTGAATCACTTTTTATATCTCGATGTATAACACCATTTGAATGTAAATAAGCAAGTGCTTTAAGTACTGATTTACAAACAGTTGCTATTTGTTGTTCATTCATTCGTGTTTCACCTGTTGATGTTATAAGTAAATCAGTTAATGCACCACCATCAAGATATTCCATTACAACCCATAATTCATTATCAACTAAATATGAACCATACATTTCAACAATATTTGGATGTTTATAATCACGCATAATCATTACCTTAAAATATGTAAGATTAAAATTTATGATTATTATAAAAATCTAAAACAAAAAAAGATATTTACTTCATTAAATAGAAGTTCTTTTCGTTGTTGTTTAGTTATATTCATTTGTTTAATAGCAACTTGTGTACCATAATGTTTATCAATAGCTATATAAACATTTGCTGTTGATCCTTCACCAATTTTAATAAAATGATCATACATTGTACGAGGATCAGATTGACTAACAACTTTTTGTAATGCAAAAACGAACTATTCAACAAAAAGAAAACAAGAATTAAACAACTTCTAATTTTTTTGTTTTTACATACATCTTCAAGTGATAATTTTGTACTTCCATCAATTTTTTCTCGAGTTGGAACAATAGCAGGTGATGTTGCTGCTTGTTTTATTTTACCATTTGATGGTAATATTAAATCATTTTGATAATTTGGAACTGATAATTTACGATTATCAATCAATGATGGATCAGGTGATTTAATATTATATAGACGATCAAGATGAGTATTACGTGGAATTTGTATAAGTTGATTATGAGAATGATAAATATGATCATCAGATATTTTAGGTGGAGTTATTTGTCGATGATTAGTTAATGTTTGTTGATTTGATCCTGAACCACGAACAATTGTTTGAGACTAAAAAAAATTTTTTTTTCGAATAAAAAAACAAACAATTTTGTTTTTGTTAAAATAAAACAAACTTTAAGATATTCAAGATCAGATGGTGTTAAAAAACAAGGATCACCAATTAATGGTTTTGGTCGTGGTTGTTGATTTATATGTTGCTGTTGTTGTTGTTGTTGTTCTCGTTGTCTTTGATGTTCATATGCAGCAATAGCTGTTCGTGATATATCTTCATCTGTTAATATACTTGTCCATTGTGGTGGTAAATCTTTTAATGTTTGACTATTTATATCAAAATATGTTTTACGAAGATGTTGAAAATTAGTTGGTTTTGAAATTTCTATACGTTTTTTACGTTTAAATACCATAGTTTTTAATTTAATATGTCTGAATGAAATATCTGATTGTTGGTCAATAGAAGAAGAAGAAGAAAACAATATGTTTTAGACAATGACAAACATGTACAATGATCATGATTGGTTCTCTCAGTTCAATATATTGAACTTAACTAAGATGTCAGTAGTCGTAAGCAAGATTATAAAATTTATAACAAAAAGAAAGATGATCAGTAATTACCCGACATTGAAAGATTAGATATTTCCTAGATTATCATTGCGATCATATAGTTTGTCGAGCTAAGCTATTTTCTTTTTTGCTCACTGTTGACCTGATGAAAAGTATTTCCGACAAGTGAAAAGTTATGAATTAGGTTCCGACTTTTTTTTTGTACTCTTTTCGAATTATGGACTTTGAAAATTTTGTTGCCTTAGTTTTTGATATTTTTACTATTGCAATTCGAAAATGAAAGTTAAAATCTTTATTTATGTATTAACTGGTAGATTAGAATTTTCTTCGATCAGATTTTTAGATCATAAAGACTGAAAATCGTTCTTCTATTCGCTCCGCTTTCTCATCTACACGTCGTAGAGAGTTGGAATTTCTAAATACTGTTTGAAATGCCTACTTATCATCTCTCTCCATTCGAGTAATAAGATCCAAATACGGAACGTATCCCAAAAAAAAAGCATGGTTTTTTTTTGTAAAATCTACTAAAAATTAGAAGAATCATATTTTTCACAGCAAAGAAAACAATTAGGCATCCCAAATCTGTAAAAAAGAAGGTTTCAGTCAGATCGAACATGCTATCTCGGAGAAACAGGACCAATCCTGTACTTTTTATGTCACAACAGATTATTGCAATGAAGAATAATCATCATTACTAAAAGAATTTTGCATACAATGGATTAATCACAGCACATGTTCTTCTTGGGATTTTGAAACTAAGATTTAAAAAAGTACTAGCTATTAAAGGATACCTTTCATTTGTATGAGTAGGTTGACTGATGAATTTCTCACATTCACACCTTTTCTTTTATGAAAAAGTATCAGACTCGATTTTTAAGAATGGCAACATTCTTTGCAGATTAGAGATTTCTTGTCTCATCATCTACCGGATTCTTGTTTAATTCACCAGATTTTGTAAATCAGACAAGAATCTTACATGAAAGATATAGAACAAAAATATTGACTTGTGCAATTATTTAAATGTAAACATTTTACTACTCAGTGTATTGATTGATACTGACTACATCATTGTGATTCTTGTGTCAGAAAAGAATATTTATTCGCTTTTGTTCATTTTGTCGAATTGGTTTAATCTCCACTCAAATGTATTATGTTGAATTCCATTAGAAGGAACTTTTGAATCGTAGTATTTACTAATATAAACGTCTTTGATAGCTGTAAATATGACAGTGCCTGCGTTCTATGATTCTCTAGTTTAATCTTAGTTATAGATTGTATGATGAGGAAAGAGATATTTCTATTAGTATAGTAACGAATGCACACTGAAGAATGTAGAACAGATGTGACCGAATGGCATTTGTATGTAAATAATCAACCGTCTAAAAATTGTACAAATGTTTCGAGATACAAAATTAAAGAAATTTACAGATTGGTTTTTAATGATTGTTCTATTTATCCAAATTCATATACATAACTTTTAATAATTGATATAATATCTCATTATAATCGTAAAGTAAGGCATTGTTAATAAGAAGCATTCCATATAGTGGACTTCGTCATCGTCTTTGCTTTCAATGCCGTTTTCTTTCTCATTCTTCTAACACATTGTACAAGTATTTTTAATATCTTTTCTTCTAATTTCCACTATGCGATATTTGAGACTGAGCACTCGCTCAACGTTAGCTGGAATATAGCTAGAAATATTTCATGTGAACATTTTCAGCTCTTTAATTATGCTTTTCAATAGGAATTTCCTCTTTCATACAAAACTTCATCATATTTAGCAAATATAGAATGAGAAAAAGTAATGTAAATCGGGTAGGTATACTACTACTTTTTATTCTATGAACAAAACCATTATATCTTGCTATGATTTTCCACAATCTATGAGTAATATGCATCATTGGCATTGCTCTTATTCATCGTATTTTGTATTCTTTTTTTTTCTCGCTGTTAATGTAGCACAAACAACGTTATTCTTATACACGATACATATGAATAATTGTTTTCATTGTTACATAGAAACTCGTGAATCAATCAAAAAGTGACTCACTTATTTTACTGCAGTCATTGAAATTGTTTTGTTTTTTGTCAAGCTCATAGAAAGAACAGTTAAGTCAATATTTGACTATGATTCACTTGAATTAGGACATCATTTAAATGATGTTTTTGGCATTTTGCTTGTTATTGTGAAAGCAAATTTTCAAGACTTTAGTGTATACTACATCAAATAACAGTAGTGAGAAAAAGGATTGACAAGAAGAAAGAAACTTTACTGTATTTTGAAGCAGGCCGTAGCATGAATACGAATGTAACCCACACACAATGCTCGTGCAGATGAATTCCATAGTTAATCATTTTTCCAGCTAGCTTCTTTATGACTCATATCTTTCATCAGCATTTGCATCATACGAAAGGAATGAGAGAAATTACATTAGGCTGTTATATAACTTGAGGAGTACTGCTATGAATTATTTATTATTTTACTCATAAAGAGAAACATGTTTGATCCTTCCTCCAACTCATTGGACGCTGCTGCCGCTTCATTTATAACCAGTGGCAATACATTGGAGTGTACATGTGGGTTAACGTATGTTTCTAGATTAGAAGCCGGTGCACGACCGAAAGAAGATATTCTCATGAATCCTCCAACGACGACAGTGTCTGGTTCTAATATCACCGGTCAGGAATCCAGCAGCTAATCACAAGAAATACATGTATCTCATCACTTTCATCCAAAAGTTCAACCGTGCATGAAATCATATATATTCGACCAGTTTTTCCTTGGATAGCAATGTGTACGTTCTCTTTTTTGTAGCAACAATAAATCGAATTCTGATTGTATAATATCTAACATAAATGTATAGAGTGTGGGGTACGACTGTAGCTGTAAGCATTTGGAAAGATAAAAATGCACCCATACCCACGTCTATTTTGATATGTGCCATTGGTTACTTTTCCGATGAAATCAATAAGAACTAATATTTTGTGTCAGAACTAAAAAAATGTTGTTAATAACTTGACTGTTGTTTTGAGTAATCGAAAACTTCGAACATTTTTTATTTGTCGGATACTATATAATTCAATTAAATAAACAAGAAAAACGCTTTAGAATTTTAAGAAAAAAAAATAGTAAAATAAGAAGAAACAGTAAAGGTTCTTTTTCTACTGATAAATTGTGTATTTTTTACTGATACTTATATTTAATAAACTGATCATTTCAGAATTAATTACTGACATTTTTTAGTACTGATCATTTACACTTTTTTACTGACAATTTCATCTATTTTATTGATCGTTTAAATGGTAGCCATTTTATATTCTATGGTTATTTAATTTTCGACTACATCGATTGCTGAAAAGCAGGAGTTGAGAATAGCAGATTGTACTTGTCTTCTTCGTCAACAGATAGATTGGTCTGTTTTCAATTGATTTATTAAATTACAAAAAGCAAATAATTTATATTTATTTCAAATTTAAATTACTGATAATTTAATTTACACGTAAATTAAATTAAAAGTAAATATCAACTGTCAGCTTTACTAAGTAATTGATAATGAAATTTTCAAGGCAATAAACGATGCTCTATAATAGTTAATATTTTTATAATGGATGATAACAAGACATGTAAGATAAGATTTGTAAGATCAGCAACTTTTAGAACATTGATACATGATGACAAATCGAAACAATCATCATTTAGTATGGATATTTGATGGAAATTGGCACAATTGAATAGATTGCTTGCTGTTTTGACCTTGGTCAAATGAGAACGATGATTCACTATAAAAAAAACAAAATATTTTCCAACGACATAAAACAAACTGCACAAACATTTTTTTTATCCCGAGTGAATAAATGACCATCACATGCTTTTGCGTGTCTTTTTTTTATAATGTTCATAGCCATTTTTTTCTCGTTCTTTCATTTTATTTGTATATGTACAACGCAAAACAAGCAAAATAAAGAAACCATACACGATTGATTCCCTTGATCAGTAGCTCACAAGAGTGGATGTCGTTTCAAAATATACATATGCATAATAAACAGCAACGACGAGCGAAAAAATACTTGAAATCATTTTAATTCTCATACGAAGACAAAAGCAGAAAAATGGAACATGGTCACTTTAAACAGTTTTAAAAGAGAATTACTATGCAGCATGTTGAACAAAAAAGAGGAATACTTCTCTTCTTGTTTTTTTTAAGTAACATAATAGATGGAAGAACTAGCAATGCAAACAACGAATAACTGAATCACGCAGTTTCTCTTTCTTGCGAAATAATGTGGCGATAAGGTTTCTTGTCGAAATCCGTAGAATAGAGTCTCGTAGAGAAATGTTGTATGTTCAAAATGTATCGTAGAAAATTGGATGAAGTCGATTTCTCAAAGATAGTTAATTATTTCAACTGAAAAGTTTCTATCAAGTATTAATTTTAGATGACGTTTGAGAAAGAGGTATAATCGAATTTTAAATAAAAGAATCAAATTATTTTCACGAGTTAGAATCATATTTGAAACATGGAAGGATTGAATCATCTGGAATTTGGAAGTGAACATGAATATCGAGTATATAATTACCTGATAAGACTTTTCAATGATGTTGAAACTGTTCGTGATAGTAGAGAATTACTCTGATTGTATTAGACGTATTCTATAGAAACTCAGATGTTCTGTTATATCTGACATCTATATTGTCATTTATTTTTTCTCCTTTCTATCGTTTCTCTTTTTTCCTTGTTATACTTGCTGATACATATATATATGTGATATACACTCGACTAGTCAGATCATCTTTTTTTTCTTTAAATAAGAGTTATGTTTCTCCTAGAAATAACCTCAC